TCCTGGTCATTTCTTGATCGTTCTGAAGCGTAGGCCCCAATTGTAATGTTCTGCGACTCGCACTTGGCCGACCGCCTCTAGCGGCGAGATTAGCAAGGCTCAGCTTTACGTAAGCCGCGGCTACACACATTCAAGCGACTTCCCCTACCTGTTCTCGTCACTTCGGAAGAGCAGATTGTCTTCGGAAATTCGTTACCAGTGAACAAATACATTTCCCCTACAAATCTTGCGAATTTGGACGTAAAAAAAGGTAAAGTTATCCCAGTCTTTAATTAATTAAGCACTATTCTATGAAAACGTATGGAGGAGTGGAGGTATACCTCCACCATTCTTGACCACGGCACTGGATGGAAGTGAGTGGTCAGCTTCACGCCCAAGACGCTCTACCTCCGAGGAAAGAGCCCCCTGCACCCATTGGGTAGAGATTGGGTGGGCCCCAGAGCCGGTCTGGACGAAGTGGAGAAGAGAGAAATCTCTCGCATCTGCCGGGAATCGAACCACGGCCGTTCAGCCCGTAGCCCGATTAAATAAAAGCAATGTTTATGCTCTTACATATTGCAGCTTAAGAGGCACTGCATTGATTTCGACCAAACATTTTACCGGCGTCCCTTTTTCGTCCGACCCCTTTGCATTACATTGTCAAAGAGAGAGAATGTTAAGTAGGCATTCGTATTCGTTGCCGCAGTAACGTCTTTACTTAGCCGTTGCCTATCAACAGACACATAAACTAATTATGTAATACGCCGTTGAGATGGACTGAGGTGCCCTGATACCAAATTTCATACGTACTGGTTCAGATATTGAAAAGTTGATGGGATACACAGGCACACAGACAGTACGGATATCGCATAAGCCTAGTTTTTAAAATGGGCTAAAATCCATTCAGAAGGAGATACATACATATATAGGTGATGACAAAGAGCAGTTTCAGAATTAAATTAGCGTCCATTGTTTATCTTCCGTCAAAATTGCAACACTTTTACATTCTACACTTCAACACTACATGTTTCGGCCCCAAACGGCCATCTTCAGGTGTTTTTTGTTAGAGATATTTTACTATAAAACTGTGTTTAAACTGCTACACTGTTTTAATTCGTGTTAAAATCACACGCTGTAGTCTTCTTACGTAAAACGAGATAAAATCCTTTAAAATTTCTGTTGCATATTATTTGACCTCACCCGGGGTGTCATTCTCGTAAATGTATCAAGGTGTATTTTCTCCGCAGCTTACCCCTCATGTTCGTGGTCTACTTTCAGTTTTGACTGCCATATGCTCCTGGTTTGTGTGTGCTTCCTCCACAGCGTGTGGTGTTGTCTTTACTTTTACTTAAGAAGACTACAGCGTGTGATTTTAACACTAATTTAAACAGTGTAGCAGTTTTTAACACAGTCTTAGTAAAATATCTGTAACATAAAAACACCTGAAGGTGGCCGTTTGGGGCCGAAACGTGTAGTGTTGAAGTGTAGAATGTAAAAGTGTTGCAATTTTGACGGAAGATAAACAATGGACTCTAATTTGAACAATTGCAACGGGATGCTGAAATACAGAATTCAGAATTAAAACTGTGTGCACATTTCGTAACTTGTTTGCCATTTTTCATTTCTGTGTTTAATTTTCCTTTGTTCCTACTCCTTCTTCCTCTTCTTCCTTGCTCCATTTTTTATTCCTTCTCCTGTAAACATGTTCTCGCTACACACACACAGGGCCGTGGGCCACGTAAATATTGACTTTTCGTCGCCATGGCAACAAACAATTGCAGACATTCACAGAAGGCAGTGCATTTTCTGTTCTATAAAGAAATTATTGTCTTATGTGAGGGTCTTATGCGTTACGACAACGTGTAGTCTGGTAGGTGCTTACCAGCGTTTCAGAGGAGCTGCTGCCTATATATTTAGGGTAAGCACATACGAGTATAGACGGTGTCATGACCCAGAACGTGGCGATATGAATCTTCACAGCTGTGTAAATTTCAAATTTCGCTAATCTTACAGTACCGTTGTTTACCTTGAAGCCAGTTCCTCCGAAACGTCGGTAGCTTGCTACAAGCCCTTGTGGATTCACATCCCAGGGAATAATAATAATAATAATAATAATAAAAACGTTTCAGTTGAATGTAAACCTAATCACCTGCAGAAGAACCACATGCACCTTGTGCAGGCAACCTTACGGAAGAAAATTCCCTGGTAAGTATGCGTGGATTCCAAACCGGCCTTCCAATGCCGGATATATACAGACAAACTTGTCCCACCAGTCTTGATCTCGGCACTAGATAGAGGTGAGTGGGTAGTTTCACGCCCTGGCCGCTTTACCACCCCTACCCATTGGATAGGAGGGTGGGTTGGCTCCAGAGCCGGTCTGGGCGCTGTGCAAAACAGGAAAATGTTACACTGCCTGCAATCGAACCAGGGCCGTCCAGCTCGTAGCTCGTCACTGCCTGACGACAACGATGCAACCTCGTTTCCTGAATAGGTGGAGTATACCCTCCATATCTAGAGAATGTCTCCGCCACCACGATGACAAGGTGCCCACTAACAGCTTATGGCGGGGGGTGTAACATGTATGGAAAGTTTGAGATTTGTGTAAACAATTTTTGTCGTTAAACTTGAGAGAGGAAGAGGTGCTTTGGAAAGCCTAGTTATAGATGGAAGAATAGTATTAAAATGTATCTGTGGGGCACGCGGTAGCGTAGCTGGTTGAGGCACTATGCTACAAGCCGGGAGGTCGCGGGGTCGATTCCCGATGAGGTGTTTTTTTTTTTTCAATTTACCTAATCCTTCCAGCCGCACTATGGCTCTGGGGTCGACTCAGCCTCTAACAGAAATGAGTACCAGGAATCTTCCTGGGAGGTAAAGAGCGTAAGGCTGACAACCTCACCGCCATCTGTGAGCCGACTGTCTAGAAAATGTGGGAGCCTCGACCTCTCACAACCCTATGGGCCTTCACGGCCTGTTTGAGAGATAGCTTTACTCTTTTTAGTCTTAAATAGGGTGGAGGATGAGTATTGGATTAATCTGGCTCAAAATGATGCCCAGTAGCGGGCTTTTGTGAATACACTAATAGACCTTCTGGTTCCATGGAAAGAAAGGGATTTCTTGCGTAACTGAGCGAGTGTTATTTTCACGTGAAGGGCTAGGATCCATGGAGTTGCTTTCTTGGTTGAGCAAACTGCGGACACTGCGCGACTTGACGCTCTGCCAGGGAATGCAAACGCCAGGAGAAACGGGGAAGTGATTCCGAGGCTGTCAAGCAAGGCTGATCGGAGAAACTGTAATGATGAAGCGGCCAAGGAATATAAACTAAAACATCCATGCTTATTTAACGGCACTGTAAGTAACTGAAACTATGGACCATAGCTTCGAATCATAGAATGATTATTGAGTGACGAATTGGAAAGGAAACTGTCATATCCTAATTTCCAACTGAAGCGTAATGTCTTCTCGCGTGTACTCCGATAGAAGATCAACGACGTTTCGAAAGTGGGTATTGTTCTTTGCATTTTCCTTGCTTCACTATCTCTACTACTTTCAATATAGAGACAGTATGTTCCTCCGAAACGGCCATTGAACTCCTACCGTGCAACACGACGTCACATCCAAAAATATACTGTGGCATGTATACCCGTTGATAGGCAACATAGGAAATGTGTTTTCTTTGTGGTCCGTGCCGATATATTATAAGCAGGACTGTTCGTGAGAGTCATTTGTGTTGAAGTTGATTCGGTTGGTTGGTGAGCTAGTCAGTCGAGAGTTTCTGTAGCTGAGGCACAGGGACAGTTCGGGAACGCAGAGTTAGGGGAAAGTCCGCTGTTGGAAGCCGTTACCAGACTACGACTGGTGAAGGCACAGCGTGCTGAGAAGATTTAACTATGTGCTCTAGTGAACTGTAGAGTGTGTGGTTTAGTAAAACGATTATAATTACTTGCAGTCACGGATCTGTAAGTCCAATTAGAGATCCAAATCCCATCTATCACGTGACATGCTACGCCTTATAGTCACAGCTGTTGAAAACATTAACTGCACCGTCGCTTGTGAGAGTTCCGTGAAGGGCTGGATCAGTGTTCCGACAGAAACGCAGATCGGAACATGTGCAACACCTGCGGTAGACACGTGTGAGGAGGACACACGTGGACTCCTTCATATTTTTGTCCCCTTATTGACCTTGGTGTTGTATGTATTTCTGGCAGGTCCTGCCAGTCTGCACGGAGAGAGGGACGCTGTTGCTGGCGAAGCTGTCAACAACAGGGATGTCTTGGTCTAGTGGGTGGCACTCCCTCTGCTTGTTTGCGTCGTCTCGGCTTCCAGTCTCGACCCAAAGACCGGATATAGTGACTGAAATTTGCCGTGGTTTTCCTCGATAACAAAGCAGAATTTTGGGATAGGAAACCTGCCTCAAAGTATGTCACGACCATTCCATTCAACATACTCTTTAGTTTACCCTCGGGCTCTTGTGAACACGGCAATGAACATCGGAATTCCATAAAAGACAGGGGATTTCTTGACTAGCTGAGCGACAATAAGCTTCTCAAGAAGGACTTTGCTCCATGGAGTTGATTGATGTGATTTTGTGATCAAGGTATTGAACATTGGAATTCCGTGAAGGATGGGGAAATTGTTGAGTGGTTGAGCGATTATCAGCTTCTCAAGGACTTTGCTCCATGGAGTTGGCTGAGGTGGGCTGTTGTGAACGAGGTAATGAACATTCGGGTTCCACGCAAGGCATGGAATTACTTTAGTAGCTTAGCCACAGCTAGGACGGTCTCTTGTGAGCGAGGTGATGAACATTCGGGTTCCACGCAAGGCATGGAATTTCCGTAGTAGCTGAGCGACAGCTAGGACGGGCTGTTGTGAGCGAGGTGATGAACATTCTGGTTCAATGCAAGGCATGGAATTTCTTTAGTAGCTGAGCGGTAATTAGGACGGGCTCTTGTGAGTGAGGTGATGAACAAGAGCGGGGAGCTGCTTGGTGGCATGCGTCCCGCGCGCAGCGCCGAGCGGACGCGCTTCTGCACTCAGTATGTGCGAGCACTTGGTGACGTCCGGATCGTAGCGTCTATGAGTGACATCGGGGCCCGTGTGTTCGCGACTGGCTGGAGCGCGCTGAGATGACGCATGCTCCCTCTCCCAAGAGGCGCACATGTAGCGCCAGTCATGAGGACGTCGCACAGGACGAGCTGTACACGAGTCTTCAACCCCTGCCTCCGGATGGCGGCTGGGGGTGGGTCGTTGTGTTTGCTTCGTTTATGATCCACATCATAAGTAAGTGTTCACTCCTTTATGCAAGATGTGCAAGTGGTTTGCAATGAAATGTTGCAGTGTTTCCTAGGATGTGACAACTAGCGGGTTGCTCGATAGATACAAACGTTTCGGAGCAACTTTCTGCCTCCGTGTAGAAAATGTGTTCGTATGTCTTCCAGAGTTGCTTTATTGGTTAGCATTTGTTGGTTGCTGTGTTTACATATTTCGACTGTGGCTTTTGTGAGTAGCTGCCGGGAGCTGCGTTTGTACCTCGTCATGGAGACGTATGGCGAAGTGGAGGCTGGTGAATAGCTGAGTTAACGCTGTATTAAATGAATTCTAATTAAGGTCAGATTAGTGACAATGGGGGACCGTAAGTTCGTTCTAATTACTTTAAACTTTAAATTATACAACGGCACTTACGGTCGCTGTGTTGTAAATTTGTTTCAAATCTTAGTATCTTTTATCATTTCAGAGTAAAAATCATTTATTTTTAAGGTTGCCGTAATAAAATGTGAACATAGTGCGTCATTCAACTTTGACTCCGTTCCGCCATTACTCAATAGATTAATGATCTATGCAGGAATGAGATTGCGTTGTGAATGGTGTCTGGTTAGTTTCCACTTTGCGTCATGTGTTCACTCTGTGTAAAGTTCTAGAAATGCGGCCATTAACTGCGACAGACGTGGCCTCCCGACCGTTCCCAGTTACACCTCGTGAACTGCTGTACAAGTCTCAGATCCTGTTACCAGGAGTTCTGTGTTGAGGGGCCATATTACTCATTTGGAGCCTGAAGTTGGTCTAAATCACATTTTAGGATTTGGTTCGTACCTCACAGGAAACATATCACGTTTCCGCTACGGAGCCCAACCGGTTAATGCTGTCTGGGGAAACAGTCGCTGTTTATTGTGAGAATCGTACGGAACACACAAATAATATAGAGATTCAGTCCGTACCTCACAGGAAACACATTACGTCTCCGCTAAAGAGCCCAACCGGTTAATGCTGTTTGGGGAAACAGTCGCTGTTTATTGTGAGAACCATACGGAACACACAGATACACTGTGTGAGCAGAATGAAGTGTTTTTTAATGTTAAATCAAATGGTGTATAGTAACCACTGTGCTTTGAAGGGTTGATCTGAATCTGTAGATATATAATGTAGTGCATTGTCTGCATTTTGACAGAAACACAAACATCCTACTAGAAGACTACTGTCTTCAGGGTTGTGACGTCGTGTAGTCCGGTAGAAGTTCACTGACGATTCGGAGGAACGAACTTCTAAATCTTCAGGTTCGAGGAGTAAGCCAGGCAAGCAACCAGCAAGACATGCTTGTGTGAACTTCTACAACACTACACGGCGTCACAATCTAGAACACACTTCCCCTCACACTCTACAAGTTACATTGACTCCTGCTCTGTGCTTGTTCAGACAGCAAGAGGCCAACCGAGTTGCAGCCCACGTGGTCGCCGCGTGTAGCATGCATACACCACCCGGCTACAAGCTCTGCAGTTCCGAAACGGCAGTTTGGCCTAGCACGCTATAGACCTTTATTCGGGAAGTGCTCGGTTCGAATCCGGTCCTGGCTGTAGTTTAGTACCATCTTCTTCAGTCTCTTCAGACACATTTACCGGGATAGTTACCAGTTCATTGTAATTGTACAGGCTAGCCACTAACAGCGTCGTGACATCATTACCAGAATGAGCCTGTAGTTGTGGACGATCCTGAAGATCACTGTACTTCCGGTATATATTGTAGCTCGGTAGGCACGTTCCCGCGGCAACGGATACGCATGCAAAAATAGATATGCTGTGTTTTCTGCTCGGTCCTTGCAAAAGGGGTTATGTGGAGGATAATAGAAGCAAGAATAGTTCAGAAAAACCGTGTGGAGGCGGGGTCGAATCCCTCCACCGTCACCCTGCGAGTCGTCAGAGGCGACGAAAAAGGAAGTCTCAAATCTGAGACAGTAAAATACGGTCGCGAGTCCCAAGGGACTCGAACCCGAGAATGACTGCGCTGGCAAGGACCAGCAGCATGATCAAGTGTTGTTTATGTTAACTTTCATGCGCCAACGTTGGCAATCCTGAGAGGTACGGTAACATCTGACCTCTGAGTGCACTCAGAACCGCGAAGTTTTTCCAACACCCGTTTACATCACGCGTGAGCAAAAACTCAGCGTTTCCTGGGAATCCATTCCTCGGCTGACCTTAGTGGCAACCTGTCTGTGCAGTTCAAGGCAACGAAGTCACGATTTTTCCTTTGAAGTTGTGAAGTATCAGACGCTATCAAGCGAACGGCGCTGTTCTTGAAGAGCCGAGTAATGTGTTCTGAGATGTGACACCGTGCAGTCCGTCAGAAGCTTGACGACTTTTCGGAGCAACGTACTGCTTCCATGTTCAGGGATAGAAGCAGACCACATGTTGCTGATTGTTTGCTAGGCTCTTCCATCCTGTAGATGGAGCGAGTACGTTCCTGCGAAACTGCATTGAACTCCTACCGGACTACACGGCATCACGTTCATGCTTACCGCTGTGATAACCTGACTTGTTTCAGACTCCAGTGTGTTCTTTTTCTCCGCACCTTGCCAGCCCCTTCCGTGTTCTTGAGGTCTTCCAGTGTGTCACTAAACCATCTCGTTCTGGTCCATCCCACATATCTTTTTCCTCTATAGTTCTATTCTCTTGTCCTTAAGAATGTTCTTGCCATCCGCATTCTTTCTACATGGCCAAAACTTTCTTAAATCTTTGTAACTGCTTTAGTAAATTTTGAATTCCAGCTTCTCCTCTAAAAATGTTGTTTCTAATTCTGCCCCTTCCTGTTTTCTCCTCAAAGCCTGAAATACTCCTTCCCTTGTGTGTTTCTGTGTAAGGGTCCTTGTCTCAATGCTATTGTAATGTACTCGGTTTTACAAACAGTTCAGTATCAGCTTTAGAAATAAATACAAAGAAGAATGAAACATCCGTTTCGAGAAACTGTTCTATAGTGATGGCCTACTCCAAGTATCATTAGAATGATCAAGTCAAGAAGGATGGGGTGGGCAGGTCATGTAGCACGAATGGGGGAGACGAGGAATGCGTATAGGATTTTGGTGGGAAAGCCAGAAGGAAAAAGACCACAGGGAAGACCAAGGCGTAGGTTGGTGTACAATATTAGAATGGATCTTAGAGAGATAGGATGGGATGGTATGGATTGGATAGATCTGGCTTAGGATAGGGACCAGTGGAGGGCTCTTGTGAACACGGTGATGAACCTTCGGGTTCCATAAAATGCTGGGAAATTCTTGAGTAGCTGCAGAATTGGCGGTTCCTCAAGAATGGCTCACCTCCATGAGTGAATAAGTTTTGGAAAGAGAGTTATGCACTGCTTTTGGGGTTTCTTGTGGCTCAGTTGGTGTTATGACGCCCTCCTCAGACCCTCGGCAACTGCTGCTTCTGCTGAAGACCAGGAAGCATTAGGTTACTGTGCTGAACACTCGCCAAGTCCCAAAGAGCGCGGACCCGCAGCAAACGCTGTTTTGTTGCCAGCCAAGCGCCCCCACTTATCTGCGGGATATAGCGTTATCGCGGACGCTGCTGGGCGTGACTGTGATAGTAGGGAATTCCGAAGGTTCAGCAGTGTCGGATGTGCGGAGCATGCAGCATGCATGGCAAAGACTGGCCGTCAGCAGGTGCAGAGCAGCGTGACAAGAGAACACCCAACATCTCAGACACTACGTGCACGAAGGCGCACAAAGGCGGCACCTTACTGAGCAGCTTGTCCTTTCTGTGAAGCCATTCGTGTGCCTCGTAGGGTTCACGTGACGGTGCTCGAACTCGCGGCGGTTAATTTTAAACTGTCCTTTTCTGTTATGACACCGTACATTCTGGTAGGTTAGTACCAAGGTTTCGTAGAGACCTTAAGTAGCTCCATGAAGCAGAATCGTTCTTGAGAAGCTGACAATTGCTAGTTACTCGAGAAATTCCGAGGATTTTACCGAAACGGATGTTTCTGTACCTCGTTCACAAGAATCCGCCACTGGTCTACATCCTGAGTCAGAAGAATTTAGTCCACACCTTCCCATATTATTTCTTCAAGATCCATTCTTAGCTTGCTTTCCTTAGCAAGAGAAAAATAAAAGTAGGTTTAAGTTATCACCATGATTTCTGTGTGCCTGTGAATCCCTCCCCCCTACCCCAGTAGCTTTTAAATACCTGAACCAAAAACAAACTCCCTGGTTTTAGTCCGCAAGCAAACTATACCAACCGAGCGACCGCCGTTTGTCGGCGAAGTTGGTGCCAACTTTGGTGGATAGAGGGTGTCGCGTGGTCAGCGCAACGAATCCCCACGCCCTTTAATCTCGGTTTTCTAGGCAGGAGTCGCTATTTCCTTGAAATAGCTCCTCAGTTAGCCTCGTGAGGCTGAGTGGACCCCGTTCCAGAGCCACTACTTCTCAGAAAGTCTGGTAGCGCCGGGAATCGTACCCGGACCTCTGAATCTGTGGCCAGGAACTCTGATCACTAGACCATAGAAGGGGTCAAAATACCTGAACCAAACTTTACGAAACTTGGCATGTATAACATGACACCTGAGCCGATCTCGACGGCGTCCTCCACAAATCCCTCCCATTGGTCTGTGTATCCCTCTTCTCGTTGCTAGGCAATGTCTCGGTAAACACGTTCCCGCGGCAGAGAATACAAGCAACAGTAGAAGAATTTGACGCATTTTCTGTGTGGCCCATGTCTTATGAAAGAAACTGTGGGCCTGTCTGTGTATCCCCATACCGTTGCTAGGTAACAACTTCCTGCGCATGGCGACTGATGACTGATGTGGGTCTCCAGTGCAACTACGGTTAGGGCGGATCAACCCAGTTTCGTGACTCAGTTTTCTCGTTGCACGCTGCTGCAGAATGGCATATTTCACCGCAGTCAAGACCTCAGACCTTCCGCACGGAAAGTTTTCGGCAGATCCGTGAACTTGCCCAGTCAAATACTTGCGCACGCGCGTCGTGGAGCCTTTGCAGCGGTTTGCGGTTTACTTAACAG